TTAAGATTGAAATAGGTTATTAATGCATTTTTATTTTATTATATCTCTTGTCATCGGCTATCAACATTCACTGACTATGTATTATCCAATAACAACTGCATCTGCTATTATTCCAAAGCCCCCATTCTAATACTTTCTAAATGACAAGATAAAAAAAAACCCACCCCCCCCCCCCCACAAAAACTACTGTTCATAAATACAGTGTTATTTCTCAAATTTTGAAGGGGAGAACATTACTATCCTTATAAGCTCTCAGGCCTTTTGCCTTTTTTTGTGTTTTCCTTTTGAGTGTCCGTGATCAGGGAGGATGATAAATGTGTTTCCGTGTCTACCCTGGTATTTTCCCCTATTCCTTTTGAAATGGCATCAATTTTCTCCTCACACCATTGTTATTCTTTCCAGCACGGCAACCTCGGGCTCACGGCATACGTCAGTAAACGCCCTGCTTTTCCTTTAAGGCTTTTCTAATTTTTAATTAAAAAGAAAGGCTAGATTCTTGCTGATCACCTACAGGAGTGTGGCTCTCCATGGTTACCTGTCACTCAAAGGGCTCCGGCTCCCAGGAATGCTAATTAGCCCTGCTAAGCGCCGTAATTGAACTGGGTGGGGAGAAGACTGCCAAAGAAGGTGCCGGTCCCCCTTCATTCAGAATGGTCCTGCCGTCCCAAAGGACGGAGCCCTCCTGACAATGCGAGGAAATAAAAGGAGATGGAGAGAAAAGGAAAAACAACAACATTCCATCTGCCGTTTTTTTAGTCTCAGTTTTAAAGTGGCTATCAAGATGTAACCTGGATACCAGGCAGGCGGATACCAAAAAAAAGAAAAAAAACAAAACCCTCGTGTTTTCTTTAGCCATAAGAGAATGAGCCCATAGTACCTGCTTGACGATGATCTCCATGGTGGCGAATGCATTTAGGCGGTATAGAAAGGAACCGTCGGAAACAAATGGATGCATTGGGATATCAATGCAGAGAATCGTAAGGATGACAATAGATGTCTATTTTGGGGGAAACAGCCTGTATTTAAATGAGGGCGGTATTTGGACCCTAACAACAGACCATGTAGGAATGTTTCTTGCTTATTTTTTGGAGAGGAGGAAAAACAGTGATTGTCATTCAAACACATGGACATTGGTATTTAGATAATTTAGAGGAGGATGTAAAATATAGTAGAGAAAATGTTAGACCATCACTTATAGTAAAAGAAAAAAAAAAAAAACCTAAGGTAATTGTGTTCCAAATAGGTTTTGTCTTCTCTTCAGCTCAGTTTTAAATACTAACATGAAAAATAAATAGTTGCAAAGAATAATATACTTGACATGATAGGACAGTGTGGTGTTTCATATAAGCATGGACTCATAGTGTTTTAGCAGATTTAATTTAGCAGAGTTTGTCTGAACAAAATATGACTTGCAAATCAGGTAGTCCTTAGAACCGGAAGAGCTTTGGAAAGCTCAGCGCTGCACTGTGGACAGGCGGTATATACGGACAGAATACGGAAGTCAGGTATGGAAACAGCTTGATTGGTTACAGCTCCGTGCTTACCTTGTTTGAACACGGTCTGATCAGTTGGTCACTGTGATTGACTGGAGCTTGGCCACTATGATTTGCTGAGACTCAGGTATTTGTTACAACAGTATACTCCTAAATTAGGCTTTCGGTTAGTTGATGTACTAAGTTACTCAGGCACAGTCTGTTATATAGGAGGCAGTTTGGTAAGTACGGAGGCATCCTCAGGTTAAATTTAGTTTAATTTAACAGATATAACTATGTACAATGCCTTGGAAAGTAAGGTTTAGAGAAATGTTGCTAGCCTCAAACCACATAGTCAATGACGAGTAGAGCTCAGAAGAGAAGGCAAGTCCCCCTCACCCTAAGTTTATCATTTGGGGTAAAGAGTAGGAAGCAATCGGTGAAGTGTGATTTGATTCTAAGGTAAGGTGATAAACAGCACAAGATCCACAAAGTCAGAAGGTTTTACCTTGTCCTCTGTTATAATGTAGTATTCACAACACTTGAATCAGTGCCTAGTGCCCACGTGTGTGTTGAATGTATGAATAAACAAATATATTCTTACATGGTTTGAATTTTTCAAATTACTTTCAGATATTTAAAATGCCAGATCACCCAATAAGATAATTCTGTACCTCTTTCTGTCTCTATTTCCTTCCTTTCTCTTCTCTTCTCTTCTCTTCTCTTCTCTTCTCTTCTCTTCTCTTCTCTTCTCTTCTCTTCTCTTCTCCTTCCTTCTCCTCTCCTCCCTCCCTCCATCCCCTCCCTCTCCCCTCCCTCCCCTCCCTCGCCTTCTCTCTCCCCTCCCCTCTCCCTCTGCCTCCCTCCCCGTCCTCTCCCTCCCCTCCCTCCACTCCTGCCCTCCCTCTCCCTCCCTCCTCCCCTCCCTCCTCCTCCTCTCCCTCCCTCCCTGCTCCTCCCTCCTCCTCTCTCTCCTTCATCTCTCCTCTCCTTTCTCTCCTGTCCTCTCTTCCTCTCCTCTCCCCTCTCTCCCCTTCCCTCCCTCCTTCCCCCTCCTCCTTCTTCCTCTCTCTCTCTCTCTCTCCTTTCTCTCTTTCTTTCTTTCTTTCTTTCTTTCTTTCTTTCTTTCTTTCTTTCTTTCTTTCTTTCTTTCTTTCTTTCTTATGTCAAGGGGCTTCAGTCTAGAAGTTAAATCGGGTGTGGTGACTGATAAATATCTATTACTAGAATAATCGGAAGCCACCGTTATCCTGAGTCATGCACTATAAACTAGTTACCTCTTCTTTATGAGAGGAAACTATAATATAACTTAAGCCACATACATAGAAAGGCTAACATAAGAATAAATGAAATAAAAACAAAAACTAACCTCATCAAGTAGTTACTATGTTCTAGGTACACATACTATTGTATCTAATTTTCACAACAAACACACATCTTCACGTTATATAGACATTTTTGCCGATGAGGAAACAAAGTCTCAGAATGTGTTCAGTAATTTTCTCCGGGTCATAAACTTCTTAAATGAAAGAGCTGCGATTTAAATGCAGTCATTTTCCCTCCCAAACCCATGCTTTTTTAAATGAATACTGTGCTTCCTTACGACTCCCAGCTACGATCTTCTAGCCTTTTCAACAAGCAAGTCCACGCGACTGAGACTCAGTTTCCTGTAGCGTTCTCATAGAGTTACACTCTGTGTCATGATGTGGGCAGCACTATCTACAGAGTGGGACTCTTCCTGGCCCTGGAGGACGGTGACGTTAGAGCTGAGAGCTGAGGGAGGAAGCGAGGCCAGCCAGGCTGCTGCCTTGGGAAAAATAATTTAGGGGCGAGGAAACAAAGGTGCAAAGTCCTCGTGAAATAAATCAGCTTTGTGTATTTGAGGGACGTATGGGAATTCCAAACACTTGGAACAAACTGAAAGGGGTGAGGGGGTAATAGAAGATGATGCCAGAAAGACAGGGGGTCTGTCCGTTTTTGCAGGATCTTGCAGGCAAAGTAAGGGATTGGAGTTGCATTCCAATGTTAGAAGTGGGAAAGAACTGCAGAGTTCCTCGCAGGGATGGGCTGTGATACCATCTATGCTTCAGAAAGATCACTGAGAGGCTCGTCGACTATTGGGAGCAAGAGTGGAAAAGGCGGCCGGGCGCGGTGGCTCACGCCTGTAATCCTAACGCTCCGGGAGGCCGAGGCGGGTGGATTGTTTGAGCTCAGGAGTTCGAGACCAGCCTGAGCAAGAGCGAGACCCCATCTCTACTATAAATAGAAAGAAATTAGCCAAACAACTAAGAATAGAAAAAATTAGCCGGGCATGGTGGCACATGCCTGTAGTCCCAGCTACTTGGGAGGCTGAGGCAGGAGGATCGCTTGAGCCCAGGAATTTGAGGTTGCTGACGCCACGGCACTCTAGCCCAGGTGACAGAGCAAGACTCTGTCTCAAAATAAAAGTGGAAAAGGTGCTACTGGTGCCAGGACTTCCATGCAAGAGAGAAGGTTTCAGAGGCGAAGAGGGTGGGAATCAGCTTGAGGATACATATCAGAGGATAGACTGCCCTGAGTTCTGGATGATAGGAAGTGAGTATGAGAGAAAGAAGGACTTAAAGTTGTCTGTAATGTTTTTGGTCTGAGGATGGGCCAGTGAGACAATGCTATTTATCAGATGATGACTGAGATAGGAACCATGTGAGGGACATATTAATATTTTATTATTATTATTTTTTTTGCATAGAAGAGTCTCAGCACAATTAGGCTATTTGATTTGTGGTCTCTCCATGAATATTTCACTTTGACAGCTTATAAACAATGAGATAACCTAATGTGAAGTAAGAATACCATTTTAAACAAACAAACAAAAAAAAAACCCAGTCATGAAAACTAATGGTAAAATGTACCAACATACCATTGAAGAAGCAACATATATTCAGAAAAGAGAAAAGTTCAATGGCTGGGAAATTTCTTCTCAACGTCATTTGGGAAGGCTACAGGAAAAGAAAAAAAAAAAAAGAAAGAAAAGCAAGAATTAAAAGCACGTTAAGTGGACCGTTCACCACACCTTTTCCCACCTGGTAGGTAAGAAGTCGCGTCTTGTCAAAGCTGCGTTGCTCATGTGATCGGAATGCCGCGAGGAGACCAACCCTTCTCCACACCCTTAACTCTTTTTCTTCTACTCTAAAGATAAAAATAAAGTTTAACTTTCAGTAAGAAGAAGCAGACCACACAAAGCATCAGAGCCCTAGCTAGAGACAATGATCATTAAAATACTCTGATTTGCTGCACTGTATTTACAAATTGTCTGTGTGTGTGTGTGTATATAAAGATTTTCTTCTTCTTGTCTTCTAACAATGGCTTGCGTTATTTTAATTAGACACAGTGGGTAGAATCTTTAACCTCTTTGTTGAACAGGAGCATCAACACACATAATGCTGATGATTAACAATCAATAATGCCAGAATTTTAAGTTTGTTCTAAAACGGGTGAAAGCTCTCTTTGCTGGCCTTACTTACTAAGAACCTTTTCCTTCAGCGCCGTGGTTTTACTTTTGATGTGCAGCCGGAGAATTGTGTAACCATCACTCACCGCCTTATCTAGCTGATGGTGATTTCCTTCCTCTTGCCTTTACAACTTAAGCGTTTAATTTCTACTATATCCATTTTTCCTTTTGGATACTCTACCTGTCAGTATTCTTCATACCTGTTTTTTTACCTGTCTTAAAGCCTCTTCAGATATTTTCTAGAAATGCACTTTGGGTGAAGCGTGGAGATGAAGGGAGAGAGGTCAACAGAAGTGCATGTGAATAAACGCCACCTTAGCGTGTGTGGTGTCTCTGTTTTTAATGACACAGAGGATGAGACCCTCCGGCTGAGGGACAGGCATCCACAGAGCTCACGGCATTTCTTCAGGGCTGAGTGTGGGCAGAGCGCCCGGGTACCTGTGAGCAACAGATTGTTCTGCACGTAAACCTGATGGACCGTACCGCCGTTTCTGCTACGTTGTTTACGTGTTGAACATGTCTTTCCTCCTCTCGCATCTCAAATCGCCGTGGTGAACTATTCCTCTGATCTTTATCATCACAAAGGACACTGGGGCCCGGCAGAGTAAGTGACACCCCTGTGCGCGGGAGGCTGAGACACACAGGTGACGCGGATATACCGGCCCCAGGGCACTGAGAAAGAGGGGTCAGCGTTTCTGGTTTCTGAAACCAAGAATATTTACTATCACCGCTTATTAAATATTCCCAAGCATCCCACTTTTATTAGGTTTGACCTTAAGGCAAAGCAAACCATTGTCAAAAAGAATTTAAAAGCTTGTTCCTTTCGAATGATGAATGTATCTTTCGGCTTTTACAACGGCAGTTGTGCTGACTGCCGCATACCGGGGTCTTCCGTCATTGTGGGGACGATCGCGTTTGCAGCCTCCTGCGTGGACCGAGTTGACGAAAAGGTGACTATTCTAGCCAGTGAGGTGCAAACAGACACAAGGTGTGCACGTTCTAGGTTTAAGGAGATGGGGAATGCCGTCCCTTCCTTCTTCACCCCTTCCTTGGTAGGGGTGTGGACCTGGTGGCCGGTCACTTTGGACCATGTGAGGGGAGCTAACTCCCCAGAAAGGCAAAGCATCCTGATAGAAAAGGGTCAGAGCTTCTCACGGCTTTAAGGACTAGAGCCATGGAGTAATTCAGACTCATATATAACATCAAAACATCCCATTAAAATATTTTTTAAAATATTATACCAGAGTTATTATAAAATACTTAAAATTTTAAGTTTAAAACTCAGACAAATTAATTCTCGAAATTATGTACAAGAGTTTATTTTCAAATACCTGTAAAATGTTGAGTTCAGTCTCGCCTATTTGTGTGAGTAGTCCCAGCTTGAGCTAGCTTGACTTTGTTAATGTAGAAGAGATACATTTCTATCTAGATGAACAAAAAGTGTCTCATGTTAGCTATACTTATAGGCAAGTTTACATTAGTGATTATAGAATTAACAATGTATTGCAATCAGTACAAAAACCAGAAAGCTATGTTAGGTGAAAGCACTCACGTTAGAATCACATGTTAGGAATTATAAATGTTTTTGAAACAGTGATTTTGCGGTGTCTTACAAAGCTACTCACCTTCAGAAGATAAAATATAGTGGACACTTGATATTGCTGAGGAATATACCCCAGACTTTCTCCAATCTCCCAATTTAGAGACATTATTTCTCCATTAAGTACATAAATAAGAATGGCCAAAAATATTAGGTAGGCTTTTCAGACACTTAATGAGAATAAATGTATAAGAGGATGACGGGAGAGATGCTGAGGCTAGCTAGCATTTGGCTAACTTGCTAGCTACGCATTTATTCTCGTACCTTATATTCCACGAGTCCTCAGAGTGATCATATTTGTGCTGCTGAACAATCACAGATTGCTTCATGTCAAAAGATTTTAGACATTGCTAAGGAATTAAAGCCTTAAATCGTAGATTTCTGAAGGCCAAGAGTCTACTCTGTGTGGCATTTTATAGTTTGTTTGGTTGGATTCTCTGGATGGCGTTTTATGGTGGATGGTACCTAACGACCCCTTCAGTGATTCATCTGGGCACACCCAGGACCTACTTCCGGGGGGCAGAAACAGCTCCGTAAATGAAAGAAAAGCAAACATTCACAGCAGCCGGTCCCGAGCGCTACGACTACCCAAGAGCAGCAACTTGCGTGATTCCTTCACTTGTTGCTCGACACCTTTTACAGGTGCCGCTCGGAAAGTACCGAGTGCTAAAGGTGGTAGCACGAAACCCAAAGGCTCTCTGTGAGCATTCTGCTTACAAAATAAAACACTTTCGGCAACTCTGGGAACTTACTAGTGGTAACTGCTAATTAGAGTCCTTAGGTATTGACCAGAGAATCATAGTGGGTGAGGAAAGTTGTGATTGTTCGACAACAAACTGCGGAAATGTCAGCTGACACTGTTACGTGTTAATCAAAAGGCTTCGGATGGAATTAGCGTGGGAAGGGAAGCCTTTCTAGAGGGATTGGCATAGGTCTTCTAACGTTGCTACCGTTTATTAAGTGCTTATCGAGGTTCAAAGACGTGCTAAGAACTTTATATGGATTATCTCATTGAATCTTTAGAGTGACACTATGAAATAGTTGCTGTTATTGATTTTAAAAGGAAACAGATTTAGAGAATGGTAAGTACATTGCCCCAAACATGTAATTAATAATTGACAGTACCTGCACATAAATCCAGGTTTGCCTGACTCCAAAGCTTATGCCTTTATGATGAAGTATCGCTCTATTTATTAACAGAAAAATAACCGTATTTCATTAATTATAAAAAATTGATACACATGTGATCAATGTGATACACATTTTATGACAAAGTAGACCAGTATATTGTACATCAAAGACCTTTTTCAGATAAGCAGTGGACTCTATTTCATATATATATAGCTCCTCTTTGAATCTCCTTTCTTCAGAGACTCTGTTCTTATTATTGTACTGCTTCTTGTTTGAGGTATAATAAAGTTTTGATTTAAAATTGGACATTTCCTATTTAGTGGCCTAATAATAAAAGCAAAGAGAACAACAACAAAAAATGAAACATGGGAAAGAATTGCATTAGAAGTAAGGCATATTGTTAATATCTCATTAACTGATAACATATCTACTAAAAAATTCAGTGCCATTTGGGCTACTGTTTGAGTGGAATAGCAGAGATTATTGCCATATCATGTAGATAAAGAAATTGATGTTCATAAGACTGATTTTTTTTTTCCTATCATCTCTCAATGAGTCAATAGAACAAAAATCAAATCACAGTTTTCTTGATGGAACTACTACTGTGTTTCCCCCAAAATAAGACAGGGTCTTATATTTATTCTTCCTCAAGAAGACACCCTAGGGCTTATTTTCAGGGCATGTGTTATTTTTTTTAAGTACGATACAACAATCTACATTTATTCAAATAGAGTTAAGTCGTCTTCTTCTGGAACATCATCATCACTCTCCAAACCCCGAATTCCATCCTGAATTTCTTGCAACTCTATTTCCTTTAGAACCATTGGCCCCAATCTCTCATGTGGAGCCATAGAGCTCTCACGGGGCAGATGAGAAGGGCTGCTCATGTTCTTTCCCGCTCCGCGACGAAATGCGTGGGTCGTGCAGGTGTGCTGCGTAGCCACGCCCGTCACTAGGTCTTATTTTCGGGGTAGGGCTTCTATTGTGCAAATGCTTAGGCTTATTTTATTTTATAATGCTAGGGCTTATTTTATGGGTAGGTCTTATTTTCGGGGAAACACAGTAGGGGTTCTGTTCTTGTTAGGCTAGGCTGCCCCTGTAAAAATGACACTGTTCCATGTGTCAGTCGTTCACTTTACAATCATACGCCAAGAAGCTGAGGCAGAGTCTGTACAGTTCATGGATAATTACATTCCAGCCAAAAGCAGATGTCAGAGACAAGCAACCTGGTGTTTACTTTGGCTTTCCAGAGAGCAGTGACTAAATCTGTGAGTGCACATCCTCAGAATATGTGACCTTTGTTGATGACTTTTTAAAAAAACCTTCCATGTGGGTCTGTAGGAAAATTCTCCATAATCACATTACGCTGTGAACCTGGCCTAGCTAAATGCATTATGTTCTATGGTGTGAGAAGGAAAAGTCTGTTTAGCTAATAAAATTCCTGCCAATAAGAATTTTTCTGGCTTCCGTATCTAATTGAATAATGTTTATTAACATCTGCTACTTAGAAATCTGGAATAACAGCTCTCCTGATTTCAAGATACGGCCTATGATTTTTCATGCCAGCATCCAGCACAATAATGTTATTAAGGATATATTTGGTTCTGGATTATGATCACTTTTACTTACCTACATGAGGAGGTAAGTAAAAGGTATATATATATATACCTTTGAATCTCCTTTCTTCAGAGACTCTGTTCTTATTATTGTACTGCTTCTTGTTTGAGATATAATAAAGTTTTGATTCAAAATTGGACATTTCTTATTTAGTGGCCTAATAATAAAAGCAAAAAGAACAACAACAATAAAAAAGAAACATGGGAAAGAATTGCATTAGAAATAAGGCATATTGTTAATATCTCATTAACTGATAACATATCTATATACATGTGTATATATATACACATACACACACACATATATATACATGCACACACGTAGTCATTCATGAGTTAATATATAGAAATTTATAAAAATAGATCCCCAAATGTTAATCATTCTATTGCACATTAGTAATATGGTTTTCAAAGAAAAAATTTTACTTTGGATTCAATATATGTTATAAAACTGACAGAATTTGATATTCATGCAATTATCACTCTAAGAATTAAAAAAAAATTTTTTCAATTCTTATTTTTTTACAGGAAATGGGGTACATTTGGTTCACGGATGTGTTACGCCTTTGCCACATCCTAACCGTCATTTGAGACGTGTCGTTCTCCCCGCCACAAGGCTCACTGTGTCCATTAGTTGTGAGTTTACCCACCCCCAAAGAATATGACTGCTGTGTGAGCACCTTAGTGTTGGTCAGTCGGTGCCAGTCTGATGGCGAGTACAAGTGGTGCCTGTTCTTTCATTCTTGTGATACCTCACTTCAGAGGATGGGCTAAGCTCTGTCCAGGAAAATATAAGCGGTGCTAGATCACCATCATTTCCTACAATTGAGTAGTATTCCATTGCATACATATACCACATTTTATTAATCCACTCATGGATTGATGGGCACTTGGGTTGTTTACACACCCTTGCTATAGAGAATTGTGCTGCCATAAACATTTGAGTGCAGATGTCTTATTTCAGATGTCTTTGCTCTTTGGGTAGATGCAAAAGGTACTTCTACTTGTAGCTCTTTGAAGTATCTCCAAATTCTCTTCCACAGAGGTTGCACTAATTCGCAGTTCCAATAGCAGTGTTTAAGAGTGTTCCTGTCTCTCCACGTCCTCACCAGCATTTGCTGCTTTGGATTTTGATACAGATCAATTTACTGGAGTAGGTGATATCTCATTGGGTTTTTGATTTCCCTAATGATTAGAGGCATTGAGCATTTTTTTTTTTTTATGTTTGCTGACCATTATTCTGTCTTCTTTTGAAAAGTTCTGTCATTTCCTTTGCCATTATTGATGGGGTTGTTTGATTTTTTCTTGATTTTCTTGAGTTTGTTTGTTTGTTTCTTGAGTTTGTTATCAGCCCTTTATCAGATGTGTAGAGAGCAAATATTTTCTCCCATTCTGTAGGTTGTCTATTCACTTTAATGATAGTTTCCTTGGCTGTACAAAAGCTTTTTAATTTGATCAGGTCCCATTTATTTATTTTTGTAGCTCCTGTGATGGCTTTGGTGGTCTTATTCATAAATTCTTTGCCTAGGCAATGTCTGAAAGAGTCTTCCCCACATTTCTCTAGGATTCTTAAGTTTCATGCCTTAGTTTAAGTCTGTTATCCATCATGAATTGATTTTTGTAAGAGGTGAGAGGTGGGGATCCAGTTTCAATCTTCTGCATGTATTTATCCAGTTTTCTCAGCACCATTTATTGAAAAAGGATTCTTTTCCCCAGTGTACATTTTTGTTTGCTTTGTCAAAGATTAGATGACAATATGCATATGGTTTTGCCTTTGGATTCTCAGTCCTGTTCCAAAGGTCTGTGTCTCTATTCTTGTGCCAGTTACATGCTGTTTTAGTTACTATAGCCTTGTGGTACAGCTTGAAGTCTGATAGACTGATACCTCCCAGTTTGTTCTTTTTGCTTAAGATTACTTTGGCTATACAAGGTTTTCTCTGATTCCATACAAAATGTAGAATTATTTTTTCTAATTCTGTAAAGAATGATACTGGTATGTTGATGGGGATTGCATTAATTCTTTAGATCACTTTAGGTAGTATGGACATTTTAACAATGTTGATTCTACCAATCCATGAGCAAGGTAAGTTTTTCCATCTGTTTCCATCTTCTACATTTTTTCTTCTTAGTGTTTTGTAGTTCTCCTTGTATATGTGTCTCATCTCTTTTGTTAAATGTATACCTATATATTGGATTTTCTTTGAGGCTATTGTAAAAAGTACTGCATTTTTGATTTGAGTTTCAGCTTGACTGTTATTGGCATATAAGAATGCCCCTGATTTGTGTGTATTAATTTTGTATCCTGAGACTTTACTGAATTCATTTATCAATTCCAGGAGTCTCTTGGTTGAGTCCTTGGGGTTTTCTAGATATAATATCATGCCATCAGCAAAGAGTGAGAGTTTGATCTCTTCTGCCCCCATTTGGATGCCCTTAATTCCCCTCTCTTGTCTGATTGCTCTGGCAAGGACTTCCAGCACCATATTGAATAGAAGTGGGGATAGTGGGCATCCTTGTCTGGTTCCAGATCTAAGTGGGAATGGTTTCAATTTTCCCCCATTCAGAATGATAGTGGCTGTGGGTTTATTGTATATGGCTTTGATAATTTTAAGGTATGGCCTGTCTATGCCTATTTTGCTAAGAGTTGTTATCATGAAGGTGTGTTGGACTTTGTTGAATGCTTTTTCAGCATCAATTGAGAGAATCATATGGTCTTTGTTCTTGCTTTTATTTATGAGGTGAATTGCATTTATAGATTTGTGTATGTTGAACCAGCCTTGCATCTCTGACATGAAACCCACCTGGTCATGGTGAATTATTTTTTTGATATGCTGTTGGATTTGATTTGCTAAAATTTTGTTGAGAATTTTCGCATCAATATTCATGAGGGATATCGGTCTGTAGTTTTCTTTTTGTTGTTGTTTCCTTTCCTGGTTTTGGTATCAAGGTGATGTTGGCTTTGTAGAATGAGTTACGGAGGATGCCATCTTCCTCAATGTTGTGGAATAATTTCTGTAGTATAGGTATGAGTTCTTCTTTGAAAGTTTGATAGAACTTGGAAGTATAGCCATCTGGTCCAGGACTTTTCCTTTTTGGAAGGTTTTTAATTATTGCTCCAATTTCTGTGCTTGATATTTGTCTGTTCAGGAATTCTATTTCCTCCTGAGTGAACTTAGGGAGGTTGTATGTATCTAGGAATTTGTCCATTTCCTCCACTTTATGTACTTTTGGGGCATTTTAGGTTTTTATTTTATACGAAGATAGTATTTTGTATTTCCATGGTGTCTGTTGTGACTTCTCCTTTTTCATTTCTAATTGAGTTTATTAAAGTCATTTCCCTTGAGCTCTTGTTAATATGGCAAGAGGGCTGTCAATTTTGTTTATCTTTTTGAAAAACCAACATTTGATTTTGTTGATCTTCTGTAT